ATAGAAAGTTTCTGCAATATTTGTTTCAACATTGTACAATGTTATAGTTCAACGTTGTTGATATATTAACCCAATATTAATGCAACATTATTTATAACATTATTTTATAATAGAATATTAATATTATAGAAACCTCCAAATATTATGATCAAATTTTGTTATATAATGATGTAACACACAACGTTAAATACGACATATTCGAAAACGTTACATTACATATTTTTAAAAATCGTTGTAACAACGTTGTAGTAGTAATGACGTTTTGCTTACTGGATTTTTACCAACGTAGATTAACTTTAATCCTGGTTTTAACTATCTTTTTATCTTTCTTGAGTTCTAAGAATGAAAAGAAGATAAAGAATAAATTAAAATGAGATTAAAATTAATCTACATTGGTAGAAGCGGACATTAATCAGTTAAATTATTTTTAAAACGAATTGGCAGCATAAAAAGTATAAAGAGTCGTTATTTAAGTAAAACTGTTGTATTGTATCATTTAGCTAAGCTGTTGCAATATGAAGATATAGTGGAAAGAGAACAAGAAGGAAGCATTTAAATATTAAATACAAATGTAAACAGTTATGCGAAGGTGTACAGGTATTTAAATTTATCTTTTAAATAATAATGAAAAGCTTATCTGAATAAAATATATACTAGAAAATAAAATTTTTATTCTAAAATAACAAGATGCGAATAACAAATTTCAGAGGACACATAATTATTCTTATCTTTTATCATTTCACTTTACAAGTAGTGATATCTCATCTCTTCATCAGCCAAACTGAATATTCTCTTTAAATTCTAATCACCATGATCACCATTACGCAATTAGAGGTGCGCTTCTGCGTTCTTATGATTATTAATGAGCATATATACCCGTATATACGGCGTTGAATATACAACGAGAGCTTTAACATTTGCGCCGGAATATATTATACTTAAACCGTGGTGTGTGCGACGCGTGCTCTTTCAAGAAATTCGTTCCAGGATTAACGATACTCACAAGTGGCGAGGTATACGCGAGGATATATGCACGTTGATAGTATAGCGAGACTGGTGTAGTAGAATCTCCTTCTTCCTTGCGTTCGGCGCGCTGCGAAGTAAGTAAATCCGCATTTTTTCCCTTTAAAGAACTTCCGCTCTCTCGCGTACGGTAATCCTTTACAACAGCCAGGATAGCGCGTCCGTGCGTTGGTCCAACAAGAAGTGATAACGACGATAACAGCGACGTAGTCGACGACAGGGATGACAACGGCGACGGTGACGACTACGACTACGGATTCTCGCATCCTTCCCGATCTTCCATAACGAGATACGATAGTCGTAAACAAACTTTACTAAACCGAAACGATCGCGGGGAACGCCAGAGGGAAATGGTTTATATCTCGAGCTTAAACGTTAAGTTACGTCACCGAATACATAGACGTAGGCTGCGAAAACTCTTGTCGTGTTTTCCGATATACGAGCAACTATCGGAAAGAAAGATTTCGTGATTCTTTTCTTCGTGAAGAAAAAAGCCCTGAAAATACAATTACAGAAATCGAGACCAAATAAATAATCTCCGTGCTTGCAGAGATCATGCAAGCAAGACACAGAATCATTTATTTCTATGTACGCAAGATACGCCAGAAAGCTTGAATGATATCTTAGAGATATTATTCGAGTTTGACGAAATTCGAGCTTTCGTTATTCGCAACAATGTTAAAAAAAGGTAATATAATTTTCAGGTTGGAAGCCATTGGTAATGAAAAGCTCTTTGGGAAAATAAAACTTTGACTCGCAGTGAATTTTAATTAAGATATCTGTTCTCTGTCTCCTGTCCGATAGTAAAAATTTTTAGAGAGCTGTAATCAATAATAGCCTATCTATCGATATTTTTATTACAGAAGAAACGTTTCTACATTTGTTGAAAAATCTATCCCCGAAGAAATCCGCGCGTTTTCATACTTTCCGATATATTCAACGCACGTGTCCTCGATATCTCTTCACGGTATACTCGAAAGTCTCGATGTACTCGAAGCCGACACCTATGACACGCGATGCAACCGCGGTAACACGATAAAACGTACCTATATGCGCCGCAACCTGGCGCCATAGAGCCACGTTGGAATGTGCCCTGAAACCGCTCGATCGTTAGCATTTTCATCCCACACACTCGGTGAAGTTTCACTATATATAGATACTTTTTATTGTCGACCATTGTATCCGCGATTCGAGTTAACTGCCGAACGTTCACGGGATTGTTCCAGATAACCGTGAAAAAAAAACTGACGCATTCCAGCTCACAAAGCACAATAGCACCATACTTAATCGGATTATTTGCGTAGCTTTCGGGATTAGAGGATAAACGGGGAAGTCAAGTGTTATCTTGTGGAACAACGCCACATAATACGAGAACGGTGCTATTGTCTTCGAGACATTGCACGCCGATGCGTGAAAAACAAGATTTCGCTTCATCATTTTGTAATAGTTACAGACTCATATAGTTAAATAGAAATTAATTCATGAACAAAATCAAATAACATCGTTTATTAAATTGGTTGCCAATAAGTACTTTTTATTAGAATATCAATTGCCGTATGTTAATAAAAATTTAAAAACTACTAAAAAAACTTAGATAATTTATAGCAAAAAACATTATCTCCAGATTGAACTATGAATTCTCAACTTTCCGGAACGGGTGTCATTTCTGAATTCGACTATCGAAGCTTCAGTAATAATATTTGTTGCAATAACTAGAAGAGAACGTTATATTTCAAAGGAAATTTTAAACAATGGGATACGAATTTAGAGATACGAATAATGAGAATAAATCTATTTAAATAACGGAACATATGTTTATATTTAGTCGAAACGGAATATATTATATATATTTCTTGTGTGAATTAATAAACGTTCTAATTCTGCATGAAATGTATTTTACTTTACTCGTAATATTTATAATTGTCTAATTAACTATTTTATATATTAGATATTTTGAAGTTTTATAATACTTTATGAAGTGCCAGTATGAAATTGTATAATTATCTTTAGATTAGTTTAAATGTTTAAAAGCATCTTATAATATTGCGCTTCTTATCAGTGAATTTTATGTCTGGAGAATTAGAGAAGCAACTATATAGTATAATATTCTCTTTATTACAATTTTATTGTTTCACAACACATTTATATATTATATTTTATACATCTAAATCTATCAGTAAAAACATTACAATATAAAGATGACTCTGTGTCTTAAATTAAACGTTTCAGCTTTTAACTGACATCAGTAATTTTATGGTATTTCGTAGTTTTGAAAGTTAGAATAAATACAAAAAATTATATATCTATAAATATATTTTGTATCTATATTTATGTTATATAAATTATATACTTTTTTATTATCTCTTTTTGTAAATTCTTTGAAATAAAATTTTATTCAATAACACTTCGTTATTACAATAAAAGAATTTATAAAACTCTGAGAAGACGTACCATGTCAGTTAAAAGAGAGAAAGAGAATAAATAACAAATTGGAACGTTATCGATGATGATATTTATTGAGCAATCATCGCTGTTGAGCTTATACAACGCGCGAACAAACGAAGACCATTCGCGCCTGCAAATTTTGTGACATCTCGTTCAACATAATTAATTCTGTAAGTTTATAATGTAAAGACGTGCATCCGGCGAAGCTGCTTGATTATATTATTAAATGAAATATACATTACGCCTCGGGATGTCACAAATATCGTCGATCCCTAGACTCGTCAGGCGCGATATGTTTCGATGATGCAAAATTATTACTTTCCATTCACTCATATTTACTATTCCCAAATTGATTATCTACGATAATATTTGAAATTCCTTGTATCCCGTTATTTATAAATTATTTAAAGTTGTGACTTAACAGTTATATAAAAATTATCCAATTTAATCGTTATACCTTAAATTATAAAATTCGGCCAAGTGTATATCTTTTGAAACTTTTTATTGTCTAATTTCCATTCCAATATTTAATTCATAAAATTTTATAAATTATATCATTCTTGCAATTAAAAAATTATTAATGCCGTGTTTTGTCAGAGAAAGAAATTAACTTGGAAATTAATCAAAGAACTCATTAATTAAGGGTACTGCGACTTGAAAGACATTATATATAAATTACTTTCGTGTCTTCTTTCAGTACAAATCCGAGACCATACGCTACGCTGACAGTTTATGCCATTTGTTTATTTTACGTTCGGCGTGCTACACTAGTAGCGTCAAGCGGAGTATCGATTTTGGATTTAAACGCCACCCTCTTAAGCCCCAGACAGCTAACGAGGTACGCTCACTTAAGATCCCCTGTTCCCTCCCTCCTTCGTTTTCCCGCTCGTCGTGCGCGAGTACGTGCCGCGAAACTCACGACGAGATATTTATTCCGCGATCCCGCATGGCGGGTCTCTGATGACTTTGGGAAATCGTGAGTGGAAGTAACAAGAGCTTTCGCGGTTGATTCCGCCTAGCGGAATCGCTGAACCGGAAGGTTCGATAAGTAGCGCAAATCCGCCGATCGCGGTTAGACGATCTAGCATCTGTTCTCTCGAGCATACCGTGGCACTCCATCGTTGCACTTAATTGCGATTTTATCATTGTTCCCACTCCGAAGAATAAGATCGACAATCTTTCGTCAAAAATTTCGATCTATATTCTGCATAATCGTATTTTAGAATGTCTAAACACCTGTTTATATAACATAAAAATTGATATTGATGGTTGAAAAAGTGATTATATAATTCAAATTTATATAAAAATCAAGTAAAATTTGAGAGAGAGAAAGAGAGAGAGAGAGAGAGAGAAAATTATCAGATCTGTATGATACATTACAATGTCATGAAATAATAGTACAGAAAGAAAGAATGTTAGACGGGCGAATTCTTCGTTGACTTGTTTGATCACGTGAAAAACACTTCGAATCTATCATCAACTACATTACGTGGTGAACACTGGCAGTAGCCAGAGGCCTAATTCTACTCTGGATTCCTCGATGTTAAGTCTATAAGGACGAACTTAAATAACGGAGGAGTCTCAAGTCAATGAGATCCTCGATGAGCCTTTCGTCAGTTGGCGTTCTTCATCATTTTCAGCGGATCTCGCATGTAACGAGCAAACACTTCCTTTTTGAACGTCTCGAATTGTTTCCTGTTGGCACTGTTTTGACGCTCGCGCCAAGCGGGCCTGGTCTTCCTGGTCTGTAGTCCCCAGTGGCCCGTAAATACCGGTGATAGTACCTTGAACTGATAACCCGTCACGTACATCTCGTAAACCTGCAAGAAAAACGAGCGGCTGGTGTTACACGAGACAAATTTACCGTCTGAAATAAAATTAATGTTGAAAATTGATACATATCTCATACCGGAAACCGAACCGCGGTTCAATCGATCGTCCATGTTCCACGTCTAGATATTAGCCGATTTAATTTATCTGTTACTCAATAACGTTTTCGACCAAAAGCGACATTGGAAAGTAAGAATTCGTCACGCGGTCATGAAGCTCTGGTTGCGAAACGTGCGGAGATTCGTTTTCAATCCCATTGGGCCAATCCAGTTTCCACGGTGAGACCCCTCGTGTCCCAGAGCAGCTATGTAACACGGAGGGAATTCCGCGTCGATCTGTGGTAACTGCGGACGGACGAAACGAACGGCGGAACGAGTGTGCCCGGATTCTTTACGAGCCGCTTCGAGCTTCGAAACCGAGGGGGTGTTTCTGGTTCGAAACTCCGACGGGTGGAGATTCTGCTGCCTCGCGACGTAATAAACGCGGGTGTCTACGTAAGCCATCGTGCACCTGCTGCATCTGCGTGCGCGTGCATGTGTGCGAAACGAGCGACATGCATGCCCGTCATTCCTGTGGAATACGACCCGAACCGGGGGAATGACGTTAGGTCGGCGCAAACGACAATCTTAATACGAGCACGTGTCGCAATACGCCTCGCCTGTGAATAGGTGCGAGAATACTCGGTTATATATCGAAATTGTCTCTTATAAGAGGCGTTTGATAGTGGAAGTGCGTTTGAAGAATAGAACGTTATTACCCGTCAAGAACCGAGATGGTTTTCCTTTATTCAAAATATCGATTTAACGCGCAAAAATATAGTCGCAAATAAACAAAAGAGACATCACTTGCCGATTAATTTTACACTATTTAATATATTTTTCATTAAAGTTTCTGGAACATTTTTCATTTAAGTTTGAAAAAATCTGTCATTAAAGTTTCTAAAAATAAAAGAAAATCTGAAACAATTTACCCTTCGTAAGCACATTGAGTCTTTCTTAACCCAAGGAAAATTATGTGTTCAAATTTCTTGTCATAAACTTCATTTAAATTTTATTAAATTTTTTTCTGATATTTAAATTAAATAACTATTTAACATTGTAACAGAGAAGTTTAAAAGTAATCCTAAATTTTGCTATAGATATTTCAAAAGACTGGAACAGTAAAAAGAATTAGGCTAAAAAAGACTCAAAGAGCTTACGGAATAAATAAAAATATGTGTGTTTATGAAAGATTAAGTAATATTCAGGGGAGAAATAATTACTGTGTGTAATTATTTAATATAAAAATAATATTAAACTAAAAAATCTCATAGAACCATACGTGTTCTATAGGATAGACAACCAATAGAATAAGAGATAAATGCTTTTTAACAGTCTAGCTGAATCTTAAGTGCTTATATAATTTTTCATACGAATTTATATACTACGTCCTTTAAACTGCACGTCAAAACTTATATTTTGACGCGCAAAAAATTTATTTACAGAATCAAATCACAAATACTGGCTATACGCGCACAAAAAGTGACACAACTTTGGCACGTTACGGTAAAGCATTGTGTGTGTCAAGACTTATTTTGTCCAAATAGATCTTTACGACGAATCAGACACCGACGAGCGGTACACGACCGGCAAACGTATTTCCATGAAAGTATATGACACTGCGAGATTTCCGGATGAGCGCGAGTCCCGTGCCAACTTCCGAACGTGCGTTCCATTTTCGGCGGAAGTGGCTTTCGGAACATACCGCTGATATTCGTCCGGATAGTGACGTCTTCGCGGGAAGCCCTGTGTTTCCGACAACGTAAGCAGCACGACAGCAAGGAGAAAGGCGGATGGCGTCGTAATCTCGCCCTCAGTTTGCCATCCGGGACAAGCCAGACAGACCTAACGGACGAGATCCGGTTCGCCCGTTCTCCTCCGGTCTGAATGCGTTTTCGTGAATAATCGCACGTAACAATGTACGGCGAATACATCTGTGTATGTATGTGCATCCAACCGAGATGCATCCTCGTCGAAAGCGATTGATCTCGTATCGAATGACCCTCCTCTGCCTCTGCATTTAACGCGTAACGATGCATTTCACTATTGAAAACTATATAGGCACGAGTAAGCTCGCTTCGATTTACTGCCTCATTTTGTTTCGACAGACGTTACTCTAAAAATTGTACTCTATATTTATTATGAAATCGTGATTATTTTAATCGTGACTATTTGAGATTTTTATCTGCAAAAATACGCTATTTTCCGCAATCAGCTTTTTATATTTATTTCAATGAAGTAGTTGATACCGTAGATTTTTATATATTATAATAAAACAGATACAAAAGTATATCAAATTGTACATCTTATTCAATATATAATGGTTAAAATATGAGTTGGCTGAAAAGTCTTCTCATTTTTTATTTTTGTGCAAGTGTCTTTCAACTCAATACTCAATTTAGATATTCTTTCGCTTTCCTGCGGTATCTTGAATGGTTTGATTATTTTCGATCAAATCTTGATTTGATCATCATCCATTGTACTTGGCTTACTAAACGTATCTTCAACGGAGAAATTCTCACCACGGAACTTTACAAACCAAAATTAGCACATGCGATATGCATCTCTTTTTGCACAGTTTTTTTTACTGTTATGGCAGTAATAATCTAGTATAAAATATAACTAAGGTGTATCTTTTCTTTTGATTTTGAATTTTTAATCTTTGATAACAAGCAGTAAATTCTATTGATCTTGATACTTTTTTTGTTACTAGACACATTGATACGCGAGTTATTAGGTTATGAATGCATTTGTTAAAAAGAAAAAAGAAAATGTCCACACCAAAAGCGACGCTTGTTTACAGACGTAGAAAAGACGGATTAAGCGCTAAGGTAGATCTTCATCGCATTAGAAATTGAATGATGGATTAAAATTGGAACATATTGAACGGATAATAAATAATGGTATTAATTATGGGACAGGGACATTGTTAGTTAATACGACGAAGCAGTAATCCACGAAGATAGCAATGCACATGGATTACATTGTCGGATGAAATTGATAGACAGAATCTAATCTGCCATGTTCTAGATCTTGGAGACGTGGCCCGGTGAATAATTATACATAACGACGACGCGACATGCGTGCGACAGACGCCACGACGCCCCAGGATTGTCTCCGCAGTACGCGTCGCGATGGATGCACACAATTCGTCACGTTACTACAGTGCTGACACTGCCAAAACATATACGTCCCGCGATCGGCGAGACGGGCTCTCATTTATAACCCGCATCGATTTCCTTCCTCGGGCGAGTCCAGTCCCGCACAATTGCCGTGAAAGCACCTAACATGATGCGGCGCGAACATGACAGAAGGGTGACGGAGCACTCATGCAATGTTAACGAATTTACGCGTAATGAGAATTGGAATTGTATTTTTTAAAACATTTCAAATGTAATTAATGAGCAATTATCGTTCCGTCTGTTGACAAATTTTGCCGTGAAATTTAAATGTAACAAATACGGAAAGAGCGATTGTGCTGTAGTATGTAAAAATTTCGCTAGATACATCCAAAAGTAATCTTGTTGAATTATTTGAAATAATTACGTAGGAATCTTAAACGCGATGAGCAATGCTAAAAAAAGTTTTAACATTTTAACTAATAAAATTTCAACATTCTAGCTAGTTTAAGCTTTTTATATAATATAATTATTTTGACGGTTCAAACAAAATTATTTTCAGATCTGTGAACTAGCTAGATTTTCAGTTTATTTAGCAAAAGCGTTTTATCCGTGTAAGATTAATTTGCTTACGTGAAAAGAACGATTTTGCTAAACTATTTAAAAATTAAATTAATACAGGTCCGAAAAAAAATTCTGTTAAATCATGAAAAAATTTATGTGGAAAAATTAAGCATGGTGATCAACGATGAAAACAAATTTGATATTTAACAATCATAGTTCGAGATCCTATAATATATATAATTATTTTAACAGTCTAACAAAATTGTTATCAAATCTGTATATAACTAAATTTTTAGATACTTCAGAAAATTTGTCCTTACACTCGTATGTTATTGGTAATAATATATAAAAACGTTTTTATACACAAGTGATACAGAGATAATATATGCTTAAAGATGGGAAATTTCATCGAGGTACGTAATATAACATCGAGAAAAAGTTTAAAATAAAAACGTAATTACAGCGGAGCGTTTTTAAGAGCACGCGATTCGAATGAGAAATGATAAAAGTCTGATCCGTGATGGTTTCAAAACGAATGCACGACATTCCCGCATGAATTATACAACTAACAAGCTAGCGCAGAGCCGGAGCGGCGGACACCGCTGCATAATTATCCGTCTTAATTGGACAGATAATAAATTCCTTTCAGTTTCGCGCGCAGATCACATTCTTGCGGAGGCGGCTAAAGTGCACGTCTCGCGCGTACCCGAGTTGCGGAGAGAGGACGACCAACTGTTTGTCGAGGGTTTTCCGGGGAACAGATTGCATTAAACAACACGGGCTGGCTGACGTATCTTCTTAATTAACAAACCCTGCGGCCTCACATTCGTTACAGAGTCGCGGGCGTAATGATGTTTGCTGAACTTACGCGAGCCCTGATACCGCTTGCGAATGCATACCGGCACGTCGTGCCGTAGCGCGCGCTCTCTGTTTCCACGCGAAACTTTCGTCATCGCGACAATTATTGGATAATACATGTACCGTGGGCATCACGGCATTAATGATGTACAGTGCACGATACACGACCGACGCACGTAGCTATTCAATACGAAACGAGGGGAAAACGCGACACAGACCCGACATATGCTTCCCGCAAAACTTGCTCTCCGGGAATTCCGCGAGCCCTCCGAACCACCATGCGTAACATCGACGACTGCCATCGTGGCCAAGTAGGAAACATTCCGTAAACGCACGATAACGCATAATACACGTCAAAGCTCCCGCGAGGATGCGAAGCGGGGCGGCGAAACGGCCCGTTGCAACTTTTCT